ATATGGAACTATACTGATAGATATGTACAAAACCACCATAATGAGACCCATTATCCTGTAAGCTATCTGAAACAGCAAAAACAAGTAAACCAATGTTTATGCTTCATTGTGGTTTGAATAAGAAAAGATCTAACATTAAATGTGTGAACATTTGGTCCCTCTGTGCACTGATTTAGAAGGTTACAGGAGGTGGAGCCTTGATGAGGAAGTGTGTCACTGAGGATGGGTTTTGCAGTTTGCCAGCCCAGGCCCACTTTCTGTTCTCTCTTGACTTCTTGGGTCCAGATGAATTGTGAACAACTAGGCTCATACTCCTGTAGCCAGGTCTTTGCTGTCACATTGGACTGAATCTCCTACTGAAACTGTAAGACAAAATCTACTTTTCCTCCCCAAAGTTGCTGTATGTCAAGGTTTTTTATTGCAGCAACAGGAAATTAAGTAATGCATGATGGAATTATGTTTCCTCATCAGCTATAACCCTAGGCTGGCTGCAGATATTAAGATCTGGGTAAAAATCTATCAATGGAAGCATGCAGGGACAATCATTGAACTAGAGGGAATTTGTAATCAAGAGAACATCATAGTATTATACAGTAAACTTATTACCATGAGTATTGCATGTAGCACATTCCTAAGGAAACCTTATAAGAAACTTTCCTCTATCTAATTCAATATTTATGTTACTGTTTGTTTTCCCCCAGGAAAGTCGGCTGTTAGCCATTTGCCAGCACACCACCCTGCTTACCTCTTTCTCAGGAACAGATAAATACTTCCAATCACAACACTGAAGAGGAAGACAAAGATGAGGGGCCCGATGATAATTTTGGCAATATTTGATGGGACATCTACTGCAACAGAATAAGAAGGTACAAGTTTAAGATAAAATGTATTGACAGCAAAAATTACACCATTGAACACTGGTTGTTGTCATCTCAGTACCTGGTATTGGGATGGGAACTGAGGCAGGAGGATCGTGAGTTCAATACCACCCTGGACAATAAAGCAAAATCCTAGGCTATTTCCAAGCAAGACATGGTCTTTACATAAATGAACTCACAGCATGTGGGAGCCATGGCAACTGACGACTGTTAAGAGGAAGAGTCAGTTTTCTTCAGGGATACAGCCAATGAGAAGCTACTCTATTTCAATAGAGGACCCCACACCTGATACACACTGGCAACACTAAGTGGACTCAGTGTTTTTGTTGTTTTTTATAAAATTCACATGAAGTTGAAGGGGGAAAGTTTGGGAGACAGCTCAGTTAATATAGTGCTTACTTTGCAAACATGAGGACCTGAGTTAGAGTACCACATAAAAGCATGTGAAAACCTGGGTGTGCTGTTATATATTTGTATTCACAGTACTAGGGAGGCAGAGTCAGGCAGATCCCTGGGGCTTGCTGGTCTCCCAGCTCATGCTTCATCATGACTTCTGTCACCAGTTCTGTCCTGAGCAATCCCACTTTGAGCTTCCCTGTGAACTGACAGCAAACTGTCTCCTTGCACTTGCTGGCTCATAGCACATAAGATATATTTGTAAATACCGGTGGCTGAATAAAACTCGGCAAATGAATGTTGTCTGGTTACAAGCCTTGTGTCCCTGCCTCCTCTCTTCTCCTTTAAGAGAAGGGAGGCTAGAATCAGAACAAAGTACTCTAAAAAGTTATAAAACTTTTGAGTTTTAACTTCTTTTGAATTTTAATGTACTATTTAACAGTTTTATATATGTATACAATGTGTCTTTATCACACACACCCCAATGATTAATGACTTTAAAGTATATACTTTATTATTAATCAGTGTCTGTATGTGTGTGTTTGTACATGTGTACTACTTGCCCATGGAGGCCAAGAGGTCGATCTACATCAAGTATCTTCCTCTATCGAGTTCTCTCTCTCTGTCTCTCTCTCTCTCTCGGCTGGCATGTTGTTTCTTTTGTTTGTTTTTTTGAAGACAAGATCTTAGTATGTAGCCCTCACTAGCCTGAAATACACACTATGCAGACCAGGTTGGCGTGGAACTCTGTCTCTGCCTCCCTAGTGCTGTCATTTCTTCTTCTATTTCTTTTCAAGATTATAATGTAATTACATCATTTCCCACGCCCTTTCCCCCCTTCAATTCCTCCATAAACCCTTCCTTGCTCTATACTTTATTTTTTGAGGCAGGGTTGTTCAGTGAACACAGATCTTACTGGTTGGCTAAACTGACTGGCCAGTACACCCAAGGGATCTGCCCAAGTCAGGGTTACAGTTTGTGCATAGGCATGCCCAGAATTTTGTGGGTGATGAAGATGTGAGTTGTTGGTAGAAAGGGTCAGCAAACATGTCGAGCTGGTTATATTACAGTTTTGGTAGACAAAAAATAAAAGCACCTGTCACTTCTTTCCCTCAGGGCCATTTTTAAAAATGTTCTACCATCCCTACAGCATCAAGCACATATCCAACCACTTGAGGTTGCTATGGAGACTTACAATAATCAGTCACGTAAAAATAGGTGGGTTCTGTCCAGGAGCCATTGCCTGCCAGGGAGGTAGCCCGGACTCGAACACTGTAGTTCCCTGGCGAGAGCCCTCTCAACCTGCAGCCCCGCTCCAGGGCAAAATGCTTTCTGGAGACACAGAGGTGCAGCTCCTGGAAGAAAAGAGAAGGTGGTTAGTTGAGTTTTGCACATCTGGGCACATTCCTCCCAGGTGGGGACATCATGATTAGGCTCCCACGCAGGTCAAGCAGAGAGCGTAAAAAGGAAGGCAAGAGCCTGACCCGTGAGAGGCTTTGAGAATTCATTTGCTTCTTTCTGTTTTTATTTGTGGAGGGTGGGGTTGTTGCTTTTGCTTTCTTGAGAAAGGGTCTCATGCAGCTCAAGTTGGTCTCCATAGCACAGGTGATTTGGAGGCCAGTTCTCTGTGACCTAGCCAGGTCCCCAGTCCCTCACTGGAGGATTCTCAGCAAGGGTTTACCCTGAGCCACGCCACTGCCCCTCACTCTGGTTGGAAAGCAATAATGGAGCTGTAATTTCGGGGGCAAAGAGCTTGCCTAGCATGCTCAATGCCCTGGGTTCCCTCTCGGCCCCACATAACCAGGCTGTTGCACATGCCTTTCAACAAACATAGAAAGATGGAGGTCAGAAATGCAGAAGGCCAAGGCCACCCTCTCCTATACTGGCTACATAAGAAGTTTGAGGCCAGCCCTGTCTCAAAAAAGAAAGAAGAAAAAAAAAAAGAGTTGGCATTCCTCTGAAGATTTAATTAGATCTAACATATAAACAAATTGGGAGCACACAACCCTAAGAAGTATGTACCCAGGGCTCATTAGGAGTGAGGCCAGGGACTCTAGGGAATAACTTTGTCAAGTCTATGATCACTAGACCCAAAATTCCAAAATTTTCCGAAGAGTTCCATCACAACTAAGAACTGGAATGGGAAGAGAAAATGTAAGAGCCCCTGTGCTCATCAAGTGACAATAGTAAGGAGAAAGAAATGTGCTGGACTAGGTGGCAGGAGGTAGGGGGAGAACTCAGTCCTAAGGTTCTTCCCAACTAAATGAGTCAAAAAGCAGAAAAAGACATGAGCAACTACAGAAGCCCAGGAGAGCTGCTGAGGGCACAAGGGAGGCCCATCTCTAAGGCTAGATAATCACCACAGATACCTAATGGGTAGAGCAAGGAAAGAATGCAATGGAAGATCAGGAGCATAAGTGCTCTCCGTGAACACACAAAACGTAGACATACACACAGAGAGACATACAACACACAGACACACAGGTACAAACCACAGCCACAGACAGATACACACGCAGAGTTACACACTACATTTGGGGAGACATAGAGACAGATACACCACACAAAGAACACACAACATATGTATGTTGTAAATATACACGCATATGCACAACACACACATACACAAAGAAAAATGAGCAGGGAAATTTGATCAAAAGTAAAGAAACTAGGGCTGGAGAGATGGCTCAGTAGTTTAGAGCACTTGTTGCTCTTGCAGAAGGTCTTGGTTTGGTTTTCATTGCCCATAAGGCTTACAATCACCTGTAAGTCCAGATCCAGAACATCCATGTGTCTGCACACAGGTGGCACATATTCACACTAATAACAATGACACACACACACAACCACAGTATATATGCATAAAAGTCAAACGGAAGGAAGGAAGGAAGGAAGGAAGGAAGGAAGGAAGGAAGGAAGGAAGGAAGGAAGGAAGGGGAAAAGACCAGGCTGCAGATTTGTCCTGCAGGTCATAGGGTGCTGACTCCATGTTCTGAGTCATCGTTAAAGTGCCATCTTTGGGTGCCAAAAAAAGATACAGTCCCAGGAGGAAAGGGTCCTCAGAGGAATCCTATCTGCTTATAAGGATTTATTATACACTACTAGAACTCTGAAAGTTTCATGAAGTTAGTTTTGCTATATTAAGGGCATATGGATAAACACGGCCCACCATCTGTTTTTATGAAGTTTTATAGGTACACAATAACATTTACATGGAGTTCACATTGCTTTCACAGTATAATAGCAAAGTTAAGTATGTCTAAAACTAAATTATACTTCAATCATGAAATTATATTCCCTGCCTATATAGCAGTTGTGAATTCTAATTCCAGAGGCTATGGGGAAAGAAACACCATGAGGCAGAAGAAAGCAACTTATGAATACAGAGTCAATATATATGTAAAACACGTGTGAATATGTTTGCATGTTTGCAAATCTATAAAAATTAAATAGCTTAATTCTACCTGAATACAGAGTCCAGGATGAGGGTTTAGGGCCTACAGATGGTCCACTTAGTAAAGGGCTCGCTGCAGAAACATGAGGACCCAGTTCTGACCTGCAGCACCTTGTGAAAGGTGAGTGTTCAGCTCTCGGTGGGCTTCCTGGCAGCTCAAAGGCAGCTGTAACATCACTGAGTGTCAGCTCACAGTGGGCCCACGGGTAGCTTAGATATTACTTTGGAGTCTCTAATGAATTCCTACTTTCTCTGCATGCTCACATCAAACCCCACAGTGTCTGGTGTGGCAAAGACACACATAAGAAAGTTTTAAATGATGCACTCCTGGACTGAGATGAATCTCTCTAAAGTAGAGCGAGCCCCATCCCATGATAAAGGACACAAATCTAAGCAGCCCATGAAGCAGTTTGAAGGACATAGCTAAAAATCTACACACAAATATGACGAAAAATTGGGTCAATAAGATGTCTCAGCGAGCACTTTAGCTTGAAGCAAAGTCCAGTGACCTGAGTCCAATCTCCAGGACCCACACACTGGAAGGAACAAGCTGATTCTCAAAAACTGTCCTCTGACCTCCTTAAGCAGAGCAGGCTATGGCATGGTCACATGCTTCCCTACCTCTTCATACATAATAAATTAATTTAATTTTTTTAAATTTAAGTGATAAAAGAAATAAAAGAGTCTCAATTGGCATTTCTGTCCATCTTTCTGGAAAGATGGTCATTAGGGTTTTGAACTCTAATAAGACAGCATCTGATGTGAGAAGCAATGGGTAATTGAGAAACTTAGTTCCTACCCAGTATTGTATACCAATTTCCAAAAACTAAAACATTCCAATCTGGAAGGAAGTTCCTTAAGACTCAGAAAGTTCTAAAGGGAGGCTCTGAAAGGCTCAGGAAGTCCACACCTCACAAGTCTGAGGAGGTCACTGAAACTTCTGGGACCCACAAGGCCTCACCTTCCCTGAGGTTAAGCAGCAGAACTGCTGAGGAGAGGAGACTCTTGACTGGGAGGGTTCTCTGCAAAGTCCTGCAGAGAGCTCCAGGGTTCCAGTTTTCATGAGTTATCATCCACACTGGGTGGTGGGCTTTTGGTGACGCATCTGCCTTTGAATTATCCCCATGACCATAAGTAAGCCCTTATCCATGCCACTCTAAATAACTCCCAATAAAAAGTCACTGGCTCACCAAGTTGGACACCGGTCACACCCTTACTTTGGTCTGTCACTGGTCCCTATTGTTCACATTTCCCCTGGAATAGTTCCATACAACACCAAGATCTGGAATCCTTACCTCATCACCATATCGCCGATAGCTCACTTCATACAGCACAATCAGACCATTGGGCTCCTTTGGCTCTTGCCACATTAAGTGTACAACATTGTTCTCAAAGATTTCGTGGGTCACAGGGCCAACGATGTCATCTGCCTTAGCTATGAGAAGCAATTAAAAGCTCAGATATTAACTCTTGAATTGAAATTCATCCCTGCCACCAGGGTCTCAACAGCTGAGGGACCTGGTTGTAATTTTCCCACACTTTATTTTCTTCAGCAGAAAATAATATAAAACTCATAGAGTGAGAAGATAGCTCAGTCAATAAAACCCAAGTTCAATCCCCAGAACCCACACAAAAGAGCTGGAACATAGTGTTCTGGAATCCAGTGTTGAAAAGATAGACAGGCTGATCCCCGGAACACACTGGCCAGACAGACAGACCTAATCAAGAACCAGACCCATGAGAGATCCTAAGTGGATGGCACCTAAAAAAAGATGACCATGGGTGATTTTTGGCTTCACCACACCTAGGCACACGCATGGACACACACAGAGAAAAGATTAGGATACAGTGTGTGACGTTTAGTATTTATTGCCAACCTGACAGGATCTAGAATCAAATGAAAGATGGGTATCTGAGCTTGTCTGTGGGGGTTATCTCTATGTGTTTAAGCGAGTTGGAGAGACCCACTTTGAGTAGCACCATTCCCTGCTCGGGATATAGACTGTATAAATGGAGAAAGGGAACTGAACACCAGCATGCATGTGCTGTTCTCTTCTTCTATGAATGTAATGGGACCGACTGCACCAAGCTCCTTCTGCACTGATGTCGCAGGCACAGTGAAATATACCTTGAACTGTGAGCTAAAATAAATCCTTTCTCCTTTAAGCAGCTTTCTCAGGACTTTTATCAAAACTATAGGAAAAGAAACCAAGACACAAGTCCCAACCACTCAGGAAACACCTGAGTAGGCAGGAGGACTCCTTAAGACCAGGAGTTCAATGCCAACCTCGGTAACAGAGGAAGAGGTTCATCTTGGAACAAAAGCAATAGAGAACACATTTAGAAAACATTCACACTATGCAGAGAGTAGAGGGCTGGTCTGTGGCCCAGTGGATCTCCAACCCTGTAAATTGTAAACCCAGAGGAAAGCAAGCCCACCTTCAGGCATGGTCCGGGCACTGACGTAGGCAGCCACACTGCACCTCTCTTCTGGGGAGTCTTGGTTGCATGCCTGCAGCTCAATGCGATAGCCAGTGAAGTGTCTCAGGCCAGAGATGACAAGTGACTCCTTGTTCACCACTTTCTCAAAGGGCCTGTGTTCCTCCTGACTCGTAGGTGCAATGGTGTAGGAAGTATTAGGAAACTCTGGAAGTGTAGGCATGGTGGCTGTCACATTCCCCACCTCTTCAAGGGATCTTCGCTTTCGAGATGGCCTGTGGGAAGAGAGCATGTGTGGGGGTCATGACATCACCATCTTAAAATAAAATTATACTGAGGAAAGCAATGCTTAATTAACTAAAAAGAGACGAGTGGAGGGGAGGTGCAGAGGACACAGACTGATTTCCATATAGATGTCTTTGTCAGAAACACTGGCTATGCAGGCACACCCACCCTGAGTGTTCTTGACTCTAGGGCTACCCCTAAGTTCTCCTCAACACACTTGATTGAAGGTTTCCAATTTCCTGAAGAATGGTCCATAAGAGGCAGAGTAAGTAAGATTTGGAAAGATGTAGAAGTGTAGCTATTGGGGCAGGGGTGTCAAGGCACAGTCTATAGCCCCACATAATCAGTCTGTGATGCTCATGTACACATATGCATGTGTATGCTCATGTGTGTGCAGCTTCACAAGGAGGCCAGAGGACAACCTCGAGTGTTGTTCCTCAAGTGCTGCACACCTTGGTTTTGTTTGTTTGTTTGTTTGTTTTAAAGCAGTCTCTCTTGTTGACCTCTACCTCACAGAGTAGGCTAGGATGACTGGTCAACAAGACCCAGGGAACCACTCGCTTCACTACCCCAGCACTGGGATTACAAATTGAGTCACCATGCTGGGCCTTGTTTTAAAGACCTGTTTCTATTTCTAAGTCTTTGTATATGTGTGTGGGTTTTTGCATGTGAGTACAGAGACCCTCAGAGTCCAGAAGAGGTCATCAGATTCCCTAGAGCAGGAGTTACAGGCAGATGTGGGTCACTTCATGTGGGTGCTGGAAACTGAGCTCAGGTCCTCTGCAAGAGCAGTAAGCATTTTAAATCACTGAGCTTACAGGATTTGTTTTTTGTCTTTGTTTGTTTGTTTGTTTGTTTTTACTCAATTCTTCATGCTGGCAAGGCAAGTATTTCACTAACTGATCCATCATCCCAGGCCCTACATTGTCATTCAAACATGCGTTGTTAATAGAGAGCACTGTGAAACTTGAGAGATGAAGGATCAATCCTTGGTAATGAAATTCTATCACTGGGGTTAGAGCAAGAAAAAGAAAGAACCATTAAGTGGGCAGATGCCCCTGCCCTTAAAGAGACACAGAAAATAAATACTGAGAGATGACACATTAAAAACTGCAGAAAGTATATGCAGAAATGTAAATTCTTCATAACTCCCACGGCCCACTGCTCCCTCTGCACAATTACTTTTGCTTATAAGCCATGGGAGCGTGATGATGATCCAGCCAGCAGCTCACTACACCTGCTAGAGGGAAACAACCCCTGAGTACTTTCCTAAAGCATGAGGTTAAGAGAGCTTCCTGAACTTCCAGAGGACTTGAGTTAGTTTCCCAGCACCCAAATCAGGCCTCTTGCAACAGCTCCACAAAGTCCCACACCCTCTTCTGGCCTCCACAGACACCTGCACACACATGGCATATGCTCACAGATACACAGAAATAAAAAATAAACTCTTTTTAAAAGTCTTAAGAAGAAGATTTCTGTTTGGGTATGGCTTTATCCTCAGTTAAAATTAGGATTTTCTCTTCTCAACTACAAATGGTGTGTATGCAGTTTTTATCTATCTAACATATATATGTATACATATATATTAATTATTTCATATATGAGTACTGTATTTACATCATTTCCACCAACTCCTCCCATGTCATCCACTCCCTCTCAGAACCTTTTTCTTCTCTAATCATCATTCACACACACATAATATACATACACATATATAAAACCTATGTCAAATTTATTAACACATACATAGATTATATAAATGTATATGTATATGTGCATGCACCCACATACACACATATCTTATGGAGTCCGTTTAGTGTTGCTCATACATACATGTATCTAGGGCTGATAACCAGGAACTGCATAACCTATCAGGGGCTCACCCGGGATAAACTATCTCTCTGGCCCCAGCACATGACCTTGCTGAAAATTCATTGGCTACAAAAGATCACTTAATTCATGATCCGTCCTTCACTTAACCATTTTCCTATTTTTCAAAGAAGGGTATCCCCAAGGTACAGTTCATTGATATGGTACATGCTTAGCTTACATGAGACCTTAGGTTTGATCCACAAAGAAAGGAAAAGAACATTCCTATTCTTCCCTCACTATAGTTTTGATTACTGTGTTGTCCTACTATTTTCCAAAGCAGATCCTGGGAAGAAACTATGGCTAGGTTGAAAGAACTCTGAGCCTGTGGAAACCTGTGTGCCTGACGATACTGCACACTGGACATGTTACTGCCTGCAGCCTCACCCACCACCGTGACTCTGGACTTTGGAATAACATTAGAAAGCTGAGGGTTAAAAGCTGGGTTTTGTTGTTTTCCAAAATTTTCAACCTGAGACATTACAAATATGGCACCAGATAGTGGAGTGGTCAGCCCTCACTGAGACATTTACACTCCCCACAGACTCAGCCTTCACTGGGTCATTTACACTCTCTCCACAAAGGCCCAGGGAGCATCATGGAAAGGAAGACTTAGCCCAAGATTGCCTTGACTCCCAGCAACACTTCTATATCAGCATCTCACTTGAGATAATTGGATCTAAAGCCACAAACTCAAGTCAGAACATATTGTCCATCCCTCATTATGCACAATAGCCTTCTTAAGTGAAAAAAGAAAACAGCTTATTTATTAAGCCTCAATTAGACCCATTCATTTTAATGAGTCTGAGAGAATTTCTATACAGTCACAACTGAACCTGGCAAAATAACCAGAATCCTCATGCCTCACAACTAACACTGGGGGAGTCATATCTGAACATCTGAAGACCATGTGCACTCATCAAACACGTCAATGGGTAGAGAATGCATTTTGTTCTATTGAAATTTTTATTTTATTTTTAATGTTTATTATTATATTATTTTGTGGGGGGCATTTTTCACTTGTAGTCAGAACTCTTAAATACAGAGTCATCACTCCAACTCCTGCAGTTTTTAAAACTGAAGATCTATAGCAGCTTTACTTTGGATAAGCCTACAAGCTGCATGTTGGCCTTTTCTAGCAAAAAGGAAAAGGTTTTGTGTTTATTTAATTTTTGAAGTGTTGGGAATTAAACTTTACTTTTGAAGTATTGGGTACTGAGTCTTGTTTTATCTTCTTTTAATGAGTTTTAATTTTGCAGTGCTGGATACGGAGCCCTTTACTGAGTTGCATTTACTGTTTTACTTTGTTTTTGCAGTGCCGTGGGTTCAGCCATTCCTCTACTTTCCATTTAATCTCATTTCTGCAGTGAGAAAGACTGAACCTATTACTTTATGCATTCATGTATTTATTTACTTTGGTTTTTTGAGTCAGGGTGTCTCTGTATAGCCCTGACTGTCCTAGAATTCACACTGTAGACAAGGCTGACCTCGAACTCAAAGATCCTCCTGCCTCTGCCTCCTGAGTGCTGAGATTAAAGACATGTACAGCCAACACCTGGCTAATTACTATATTTTGCAGTATCCAATATCGAATTCTTGTTTTTCCTTTCTTTATTTTTATTTTATCTTATTTTTAGAGTATTGAAGGTTGAACTCAAGGCCAGACACATGCTATACAAGTAATCTGCCAGTGCACCAAAACCTTCCTGCTCAATGAAGTATTTTAAATAGATCTAACAGATAATTAGAGGTTTCTCAAAAAGATATCTGCAATTGCTCACCAACTGCAGTACAGTGTGAGAACAGTTTTTTAAAGATTTAGTTTCACTAGTTTAACGGGAGGGCATACATGCACTATAGTGTCCACAGAGACCAGAAGAAGGCAAGAGGTTCCCTAGATCTGCAGGTGCTGGTGGTTGTGAGCCATATGGGTGCTGGGAACTAAACCCCAAACCTATGCAAGGACAGCAAGTGCTCTTAGTCACTGAGCCATCTCTCTGACCCCAACATAATTTTTATATACACTAGAAAACCAACACTTTTGTGTGGGTTTACTTAAATGCTACATTGCCTTGAATGTTTTACCCACAAGATCTCTAAGGTACTCCAGCATCCCAACAGGATACTATAAAAATAAAATAAAGGGCTGAGAAGATGGCTCAGTGGTTAGTAGCACTGGCTGCTATTGCAGAGACAGTTCAGTTCCCAGTATCTACATGGCAGCTCACAACTGTCCATAACTCCTGTTCCAGAGAATCTGATGTCCACTTTTGGCATCTCCTGGCACCAGGCAGTTACATGGTGCACAGATGTACACGAGGGCAAAATATCTAACCATGTTAAAATAAAAATAAGTAAATCCTCAAACGTTACATCAAGTGAAAAGCCACTGTGTCGATGAATGACTTCTGACAAAGAGTATCAACTGAGCCCTCTACTCCATTCAGAAACATGACTTCATTATTCAGCAATCCCACACTAGACCAGTGACCTCAACCAGAGAATGCTGCCATCACTACTTTGGAAAGCTGAGATGTTCCTTCTGTGGAGTAGGGTGAGTTCAGGAATTCTCCTCAGCATCGTACCACGTCCAGAATGCTCCTCACCCCACTAAGTAATCTATCCCCAAATATCAATTGGGGATAAGATGAGAAATTCAGCATAGGGTGTAAGCCACAAAATTCATGAGCTTCACTGACAACAGATTATATTTCAATTGGCCGCTAGAGGTCAGATCTAGCCTGAAAATAGAGAGAGACAGACAGTGCTAGAAATTCTTGCCTGCTACTGTGAACAAGGTCACAGCCTCAGCTGGAGAAACCATCACTGGGGAAAAGCTAGTGATGCCTTTTTCTGAACCATCATGTCATCAAACGGCCTTCTAAGAGCTTGTTTAGCTCTTCACTGATTGGTGCTGTTCTCAGCCGTGGTGAGAGAAGCTTCTCGTTGCAGTGAGCAGTGAGCAGTGTAATCTCTCATCACTGTGCCTGACTGCTCAGCTGGAACTAGCTGGGACATTAGATCAGCCCTACCCCAAAGTCTCCGCAGTGAAAAACCTGTTTAAGAGTCAAACAGTGGGGAATATTGTCCTTTGGACACGACATGACCATTGTGCACACAAACCCACATCAGCTATGGTTACAAGACCTACACAAGATCAAGCCAGTTAAAAATTCCAACATGGGATTGGGGCCCTGTCTGAGGAATTACTGTCAGTTGATGGCTACTGGGGAAGGAGTTGGACCAGTGGTAAGTCGACATACATCAAAGAAAGGCCCCAGACTTGTTCATAAAGGATAGCACTAATTGAATTCAGAGGGTTAAAAAAATAAAAAAAAATATGTATTTTATTAAATCTTTCAAAGCAGCCCCTACCTGTCTCTCCAGACTTGCTTTGTGCTCCAACAAGAGCTAACAATGTCTCATCTTCCTGTCTGTCTGTCTGCATTTGTCCCTTAATGGCCTCCCTATGACTACTGTCCCTCAATTTCCTGCTGAAATTCAGCAACATTATATTTCTTTGATCAGTCACCTTTTTTGGTCATATTGCATTATCTAGAGACCCAGAGAAATGGTCATTAGGAAGGATGAGATTGGGTTTAATAAAATGTAGAATTCCCTACCACCTGAAGCTGGAACTTCAAGCCTCAGACAGGGTTCTGAGTGTGTGCCCAGCTACTTGTAGTCAGATATTTAGTGAGCAAATGCATGGAGGAAAAATGATTCATTGGGGAAGGACCCAGGAAGTGTGCTCTTGAGTGCATATTTTAGGAAGAGTGTGTTAGTTAAAAATTTTCCCCACATTCATGCCCAGATTCCATTTCCCAGTGAAGGCATTTAATCGGAGAATTTGTGAAGCATCCAGTCTTAAGAGCTGCAGTTCACCACATGCAAAATAAGAAAAGCCCCAGAAATCCCTGATTTTGGGCTTAGCACCACACACTGCCTGAACAGCGACAGGGCCATGTGGATGTCCCACAGCTGAGTCATACCTAGTGTCCTCGGCACCACTGCCTGCAGAGGGTTTTCTGTGAAAACAAAATTCATTGCTTTGAGGACAGACAGAATTTCAACCAAGGGACTGTTTGACTCTGACACCCCTGTAGCCGTACTCCCTCCAAGAAAGAACACTGTTATGTCTGGGATGTGGTTTGACTCTGTTCCCCAAGGGTCACCTACTGGAGATTTGGTCCTTGGAGTGGTAATAAGAGGTAGTAGCAGAAAAGGAGTAATGGAAGAGGAATAGCAGAAGCTCTTTACCTAGTCTATACAGCTCCTCCCTAGTCTATACAGCTCCTCCCTAGTCTATACAGCTCCTCCCTAGTCTATACAGCTCCTCCCTAGTCTATACAGCTTCCCATCTCATAATAGATACCCATCCCACTCTGATGTCATCTTTTTTGATATATCACCAAAGCTGCCCAGACCCAAAACTGCGAGCTAAATCAATCTTTTTTTCTTCATAGTGTGTCCAATCTCGGCTATTTCATTTTAGTAACAGAAAGAAGACTAACACGAGTTCTGCCATCATTGGCCAGTGGAAAAGGTTTATCTATATTTTACCTGAAGTGCAGGGAATCCAGGAAAAGTGAGAGAAAATGACTTCAGAATTCCCATGAATGTCATATATGACTATATCTAGCCATAAGCAATTCAGCCATTTCCCCAAATCCAGCATCATTTAAGTCCTTACTGTTTAACTGTTGGGGGGGGGGGGGTGTGCTCGCGCACGCAGGTCACCTTCTGAAACAGAGACTCACTGGTCTGGAATTCGAAGAGTTGGTTGAGATGGCTAGCCAATCAAGCCCCAAGCATCCTATGCTATGGGATACCTTCTTAGCTATGGGCTTACTAGCAAGTGCCACCACAGCTGGCTCTTTTAATGCGAGTTTTAGGAGTGGAGCTCAGATTCCCATGGCAGCATAGCAAGAGCTTTACTGGCTGAACCCCCTCTCCAGCTCAGCATTTTGGACTCAGTTATGGCAGAAGATACTATAAAGAAAGAAAAATTGAAAATAATGGTTCTGGAGATGAAACTACTCAAGGGAAATATGAGTGGATATTAGAAAGACTAGAACTTTGTTCAGTCCCAGCATGGACTTTCTAGAGCTTTGATATGCTCTGGAAATGGAAAATTCCATCTAATTTGGAAGACGGGTGGGCAGGGGAAAAATTTGATGAAGAATTTGAGGGAAGGCGACAAGGATGGAAAAGTACAAAGAAGCTCAGCAGCAGGCACACTCAAAGCTCATGTTCGTGGAAACATCTGGAAGTTTCCAGAAGTATTCCTGGCTGTCATATCTGGGATAAGAGATACTACTAGAATTGAGCAGCTGCAGACTAAGAATGCTGGTCAGCACGCTTCTGCCCAGGAAGGGTCCCATCACACAGAGTAGCCTGGATCCAAGTATGCAAAGTTATGGTTGAGAGTCATTCAGGCATACAACCTTAAAATACAAGGAACAATTACAACAAGCCCAGGGAATCCATGAGACATACATTCTTGGATTCAACCAACTAAGAATCAAAACTATTTGTGACCTGCCCAGCAAGATGCACCCACTAATGCAACAGTGGCGTGAGCATTACATGTAAGAGTAGAGAGCCCAAGCGGACAGCTTCCAGAATCCCTAACTATAAACAGCTCCACCATTCTGTAAGACACAGGCATGGGATGGGCCTAGATCCATGCATGTCTGCTGCTGTTTTCACTTCAAATCAAGAACAAGAAAAGGAATAAACTTGTAACCCACAGGTGTATTTGTGTGCATGCACACACACATACATATATAAGTGCACATGTGACCCACAGGCATATTTGTAAGTGTGCATACATATGTGTAGACACACACATGACCCACAGGTATATTTGTCTGTGTGCACACATGTGTACAAGTACACATGTAACCTAGAGGCATACATGTGTATACACACATACCCACAGACATATTTATATGTATGTATACACATGTGTACCCGCACATGTGACCCACAGGTATATTTGCGTGTGAAAATGTGTGTGTGAAAGTGAACATGTGTGAGCAGCTGGGTGTGCATGTGAAGCCAGAGAATAACCTTGGCAGTAGTTTCTCAGATGCTGTGCACTTTGTTTTTTAAGACAATCTCTCGTTGACCCAGACACTACTAGTTAGACTAGTCTGACTGGCAGTAAGGCCCAGGAATCACCCTGTCTCTGCTGCCCCAGTGCTGAGAATATAAGCATACACCTGGCTTTTTATGTGTGTCTGGGGATAAAACTTATTCCTTGTGCTTTTAAAGCAAATATTTTCCTAACTGGATCATCTCCCCAACTAACAAGTTTGTTTCTTCCCTCCAACCACAAGAACAAGATTGAACATAGGTTCCAATCACCTCCCCACACACAGTCTCTGGAGCTCACTTCGCCTCATTTCCTAAGCAATGGCACCCTCTCCAACACCAAGCTGAAAGACAGAAAGAAAGCCAGCACATGCTAAGTTCTGACCTGGGGACAAAAACCACATTATGCAGGTAATCCTCAAAGGTCTTCCTGAATGAAGACTCCTCCAGCTCCTTCAGGATCTGAGAGTCGGTCTTGGGGCAGGAGCAGCATTCGCTGGCTGAGTCGTCATACTCGCTCTGATTATGCTTCTGAGAATCGTCAGACTCAAAAGGTGGAGACCAGGTCCGTGAGGGGAGCTTCAGCCCTGGGGAGAGACAGAGCAGAGGGCTCAATCTCCACCAGAACACACACACACACACACACTGAGGTCAGAGGTCCATCTTGGGTGTCATTCCTTAGGCCACAGCCACAGCCCTTCATTGGGGACTCTAGGCAAGCACTCTCTCACAAGCCATGTTTCCAGACCTTTTCTCACTGAGACAGGGCTTCACTATGTTATCCAGTCTGACACTGAACTCACTCTGTACCCTAGATTGACCTGGTTTCTCATTCTTGCATTCTCATCCTCCCAAAGGGTCAAATTATAGTCTTATAACACCAGTTCTGGAGTTATTGTGTGTGCTTGTGTGCATTCTGTGTGTATATGTTTGTGTTACCTGTATCTATGTACTCTCACCTATGTGGGTGAGTACAAATGCCAAAGGTTGATATTAAGTATCTTCTACAACCATTTTTTCATCTTTTTATTGTTATTATTAACTTAATTTTATGGGGGAGCAGAACAAGCCAAAGTACACATGTGGAAATCAGAGGACAACTTTCAGGAATCTATTTTCCTCTTCTACCATGTGGATTCCAGGGATTAAAGTTAGTCTGTAAGACTTGGCAGCAAGTACCTTTACTTCCTGATACATCTGCCAGCCCTCCACCTTACTTACTGAGACAGTCTCCTACTAAACTTGGGCTTCATACGTGCTAGGCTGGCTGGCCAGCACACTCCAGAGGTATGCCTGTCTCTGCCTCCCCAGTGTGATGGTTACAGATGCACACCACCACCCCAGCTTTCTTCTACATGGGTGTTGGGGACCCAAACTAAGACCCTTGTATTTGTACAGCAAGCCTGTTCTCCAGCATCATTTCCTTAGGCCCAAATTTACAATTAAAAAAAAAAAAGTTGGTGATACTAATAGAAAGTTATTACTGCTGATTTATTTACACTACTGAAAGTATGATTAAATAAACATAAAATGTTACCATTTAACCTTGTGTTGGTATTTAGTAAGAGAAACTGTACGTTTACAGTGTGGCACAATCATTGCCTCTACCCGCTTCCAGAACTCTCTCATCTTACCAAACTGAAGCTCTGTCCTCATTCAACACTGACTTTCCATTTCCTCCTAAACTGGTCTCCATACTCTGCCTTCAATCATATAAATTTGACTTATAGTTAGACCTCCCTGTGAGTATAAGATCTTGTGGGGTGGTGAAATGACTCCAAGGATAAAGTGGCTGCCATGTAAGCCTGCGGACCTGAGTTCAATCCCTAGCGTCCACATAAAAACCAGACACAATAACACTTGTCTTACTCCCCAGTGCCAGGAAAGTAGAGACAGGAGGATCCTGGAACTCGCTGACGAGCCAATCTAGCCAAATTGGTGAGCACTGAGTTCAGTGATAGACCCTGCCTCAAAAAACAAGGTGGAAAGTCACAAAGCAAACATCCAGCATCAACCTCAAACACAGCCCTATGCACGTTTCCAGCAGAGTGTAAATCTGTGCATGTGAACACTGGGGAGATGGCTCAGTCCAAACACATGAGTAGAAATGTGTATGCATGCATAAACACACATGTGCAAATAAATTCTATGATGATCAAATATCAAACCATTTTTAAACAGTCCTGTTGTATTCATGGATTTAAAGTGGTTTTATGTTCGTTCTGAGACAGGGTCTCATATAGCCCTGAATGGCCTCAAACTTGCTATGTAGGTAGTGATGATGTTAAAAGCCTAATCTCACTGCCTCCACTTCCCAAATGATACAGTTACAGGCCTGTGCTACCACACTGGGTCTGTGTGGTGCTGGGAATGGACATGGAATTTCTTGCATGCTAGGAAGCCCTCTACCAGCCAAGCTATACCCTCAGCCCCTGTAATCACAAGTTTCCATTTACAGAATGAAAGTTTGCTGCAGTTAGCTTGGCACTGTAGAGAACACCTGTCATCAAAGCACTTGAGTTTGAGGCCAACCTGGGTCACATGAAACCTTGTTTAAAAACAAACAACAAAAACAAAATCAAACTTTTTCTAAAAGTTAGTGGGTTTTTTAAACAAGATAAAACAAGCAATCAAAGTCTTGGCATTGCTGGAAGCATGGGTAGCAGGTGGTTTTGTACACTCAAATGCAGAGCCGACAGGTCACAGCTGAGCCCAGGACTGGGCTTGCTCTCAAGTTATATAAAGTATGCAAGGAGATAAATCAACTTGCTGAACCTGGCCCAGATGGGCATGATGTCACAGGCATGCATATAGCACATGATCTTAGAGCTGGGACTGTTCCCAGGAATCATCTGGCCTCCACCCCTTCTCCACAAAAGGAGACAGACTACTTGCTGCGTGACTTAGCCAAAACCAGACACCAGGCCAGGGGTGGATCTGAGCACAGACCTCAGCCACACCTCTCCAACAGCCCCCTTGGCCTGCTTCTGCAAGGTCACAGGCCAGCTAAAAAGGAATCAAAGACAAAGTCACAACTAAATGAACAGCAAATTTTCACCTTCTCAGACCTGATGGTGGATTGCGGCAGTTTGTTTTGTTTCAATACATTTAGTGTGGTGTGTGTGTGCGTGCATGCCATTGTGGGAGGGGAGGGTCAGATTATAACTTTTGGCCCTGAGTACCCTCTTTGCACCATGTCGGTCTTAGGGATCACTGAGGTCATCAGGCTTGGCAGCAAGCACCTCTATCCACTGAGGCACCCTGCTGCCCCACCTGCCAGGTTTCTTTTTTCAATAACCCACTTTTAGTTATTGTGAAATACACAACACAGTGACCATGCAAGGCAACTCCAGAACAGTTGCTATAGCTGCTACTTCAGAACCCTGTTCACTAGGCTTCTCCACTGTGCTTGTGCACACACACGTACACCTCAGGCTCTACAACCAGTGGTGAAAAGATTTTGAATGTTTCTATCACACGGAAATAGCGAAGACATTCACTACTCAGATTTGCTTATTACATATTTTATGTATGTCTATGCACCGTGTGGCTCACGGCTGAAAGAAGCATTGGATGTATTTCACCTTTATATCTCGTCCTTGTTTGTGCTGCAGTCCCGCAGACCGCACCCAGGACTTTGGACACTATGGGAAAGTGTTCATCACACAGCCCTAGATTTGGATTTTTGGCAGCCTCTAAAGTGTGAATCCACGTGCAATGTCTAAAACTATGTGATTACACTGGGGAGATGTCGAGTGTGGGTCTGTGTGCAATGTCTAAAATGTGTGTGTACACTGGGGAGATGTCGAGTGTGGGTCTGTGTGCAATGTCTAAAATGCGTGTATGCACTGGGGAGATGGTGAATGTGAATCCATGTGAAATGTCTAAAGATCTGTGTGTATACTGGGGAGATGGCAAAGGCAGGGGCCCAAGCCTGATCCCCAAAACCCATGTAAAAAGCTGGTTGTGGTGGGGTACATTTATAGTACATTTGTAATCCCAGTGCTGGGGAGATGGAGAAAGGCAAATTCTTGGGGGTCACTCACTAGCCAGAATAGCCAGTTTAGTAAGCACAGGCTAGTGAAAGATCCTGTGTCAAATAAAAATAAAAATCCACAAGGCGAGGGCTGGGCTGTAGCTCGGAGGCAGAGTACTTGCCTAGTAAGTATGAGGCCCTGGGTTCAGTGCACAGTACCGAAATCTTAAAAATAGAAGGGGTAGAAAGATGACTGAACAGGTAAGAAAGCTTGCCCCTATACCTCTTGTGCTTGATTCCTGGTGCCCACATGGCTGGCAAGACAACAGATTCCTGCAAACTGACCGCTGACCACTGACCTCCTCACACACGTCTGCCCACACAGAAAGACTAGGTAAATCAGTAAATGGAATAAAAGTATTTTTAATTCAAAAAAAATATGGGCTGGGGATGTATTTCTGTTGGTGTAATGTTAGCACCCATGCAGTCCTGTGTTTGATTTTCTGGCCCCGCATAAACTCAACATGGTAGTACAGTCCTGTAGCCCCAGCACTTGGAAAGTAGAGGCAGGAAGGGCAAAAATCCAATGTCCTCCTCAGCTATAGTAAGTTTAAGTTCAGTAAGTAAGCTATAGTAAGTTTAAGTTCAGTGGTCTTTATGAGACGTTGTCTCAAAAAAAAATAAGCAAAAAAAGTTTAAAAATAAGGTATACAGCATTCTTGGACATACATCCAAAGTTGTTCTTTGAGCTCTACACATACATGCACACATGACCTGTACACACACACATACACACATACACATAAACACAAAGTGCGTCTTATGTGAGAAAGAATGGAATATTAGCAAGTGTGCACATGCACGTGTGTGTGTGTTTGTGTGTGTGTGTGTGTGTGTGTGTATGTGTGTGTGTGTGTATAAGCACACGTGCTTGAGCAGGTACCCTGGGAAACAGGAAAGGAAACCTGTGTCCCCATAAGAGAGTCAAGATACAGCAACCCCATGAAAGTTGCCTGTGCTCACCTTTGAGACAATAATCCAACTCGAACAGCTCGCTGTCCTCTGCCTGCCTCTCCCAGTAGACCAAGTAGTGTGTGATGTTGCCATTGGGGTCGGAGGGGGGCTTCCACTTTAAGATAATCTGGGATGAGGAATTAGAAACCGATATAGGGTCCAGGGGGACAGAAGGATCTGCAAAGGAGAAAAGAAACGATTTACCATGAAGGAGAGTAGGTAAGTTGTTGGGTGTATCTAAGCCGGGGATTGTGGTCCATCTGAAACCACAGCTATGTCAGTAAGAGTTACTTAACATCAGAGAAAAGTAGGCACAGTTAAATGCTTTCCCAGCCCAGGCAGAAATGACTGTCCATTCACACTGTGGATTATGTGTCCACCATGTGTCATTTACTGCACAGACCAGCTCGGTCAGGTGCCAAAGCCCTTGCTGTTGTGGACACTAGGAAGATGCTCCTGGGGCCAAAGACAATCGAGGGAAGAGATGAATTCTGGTTAACAGGGGCATGAAATCAAACCCAGTCACCTAATGCACTTGAAACCATCAAACTGAATCTGTTTTTGAGACAGGCTTTTATGTAGCCCAGTCTAGTCTCAAACTTAATAAGGTAGCCAAGGATGTACTTCAACTCCTGTTCCTCCTACCTACCTCATGCATGCTTGGATGAGAGACATGCACCCCAATACCTGGTTTATATGGTTGTGGCGATCTAACCTAGGACTTCATACAAGCAAGGCAAGCACTCTACCAAGCCAGCCACATACCCAGCCCCAGATGGTGTTATTCAGATGTCAAGCACCAGCCTTCAAAACACAACCAAAACTCTCCCTTTGAAGAACAGTGGTACCTGAGGCTAGGTAGATGACTCAGTGGTGATGCACTTGCCACAGAAGCATAAGAACAGTTCAGATCCCCAGCAACCACATAAAGCCAAGTAGTAATGGCTATAGCACCCTACCTATAAACCCAGCAGCCAGAGACAGAGGGTCAGCAACCTCTGGGTGTATTGAGAGAGCCTGCCACAATATATAAGATGCAAAACAATTGAGGAAGACTCCAGTGTCAACCTCTGGCATACGCCACATTCAAATATAATACACACATGCAACCACGTGTGTACACGCACACATACAGAATGTCGGAGGCTGAGAGAGTTGGAGAGGGTGAACACGGAGTTCTCAAGGCAAAAACAAAAAGTGTGCAAAGACCAGAAAGGTAGAAGATTCTGGAAACTAAACGTTGGTCTAGTACTAGATGAGAGTAGAGATGGTGAAGAATCCAGAACAATGGATTCTGTTCTGCGTGAGGGGGTTGCTTATCCTCTGCATGTTGACATTTGGGGCAGAGAACTCTCTTGTCAACCATTCCACTATTGGAATCTAGACATTGCCAGGCATCCCCCTTCCCTGGGAGGGACAAAATTATCCCTACTTGAAAGTTACTAAGCTAAGAAAAGGGGTTAATCTTGACAGAAATATAATGAGTTGCTATGAGACACTATAGCCAGAAAGAAAAAAATAAAGAAAAATTAAACAGGAGGGAGACAAGAGTGGCAAAAAAACAAGATTACACCTTGTGGAAGCAGGAGATGCTCAAATGAAGGCACTTTTTCTATATTTGAAAAGTTCTCAAGACAGAATAGAAAAAAAACATGCAGTAGTCCCTCCTTATCTATGTGGCACATTTCATAACTGCAGTGGGTATCTGAAACCACATACAGCACTGAACCATCAATGCTGCCCCATATTACATACCTATGATAAAACGTAATGTATAACTAATTTAAAATAATAGCAATAATAAAATAAAACAACTAAAGTAATATATAGTAAAAGAAGTTTCTTTTGTTGTTATTTTCTGGGAGCTTATTGTGTTTATTTGTTTGTTTGTATGTTTTTAAGATTGAATCTTGATCCTGCCTTGAAGTGATATGTCAGAGTTTGTTAACTCCCCATGGGAAGTCTTACCCTTTCTGAGAAGTGGATGGCGGGCGGGGGGGGGAGGGGAGAAGTGCAGGAAGAAGGGAGGGAGTGGGAACAAGGATAGCTATCTAAAATGAGAAAAGATTGTATTAAAAAAAAAAAATCTTACATCAAAAAAAAAAAAAGGACTGGATCTCACATAGTCCAGGTTGGCTTCAAACTCAGTATGCAGACAGAGATGATCCTGAACTCCTGACCCCCCTGCCTATACTTTGTTGCTGTTTTGAGATTGTAACAAGGTCTTGATATGTGGCCCAGGCTAGTTTCAAACACACAGCAATTCTCTTGCCTCAGAGTTCCAAGTAATAAGACTACAGATGTGTATAACCAAGTCTAGCTCTTGTTTTTAATTAACAATTATTTACTGATTGAATTAACTTCTTCAAAGATAGGTCTCACTGTGTAACCCTGGATGGCCTAGAAGTCACTACTTAGATCAGGCTGAGCTTGAACTCAGAGATCCATTTACCTCTGCCTTCCAAGAAAAGCCTCTTGCCACCTCCATGACAAGTGTTGAAGACAGTCATGTGCAAGTAATCACAGATGCTGAGTTCAAGAAGGTATGTGCTAATATATGTATGATGTGTATGCATATATGTGTGTGCATATGTGTTAGTGTATGTACACGTATGTTGTAAGTGGTTATATGTAATGTTATATGCATGTTACATGTGCTAGGTATGCCCATATCTGTGTGTTACATGTGGTGCCTGTGTGTTACATATGGTGCCTGTGTGTTATAAGTAGTATGTGTATGTTACATGTAATGTGTATGTTATATGTGGTATGTGTGCATGTTACATGTGGTGGATGGGTGTGCATCTATGTGTGTGTGTGTTACATATAGTATTGTGCTATATGTGGTGTGTGTGTTAACTGGAGTGTGTGTGCTATATGTGATGCATGTGTGTTAGATGTGAAATGTGTGTTACATGTGGGGTGTGTACACATGCATGTGTGTGTTAGATGGGTAGTGTCTGTGCATGTGCTGAGGCCAGAGGAGGAAGTCAGGCACACCATTCTATCACTGTCTACCTTACTCTCTTGAAATAGGATCTTTCACTGAAACTGAAGCTTGGCTGGCAGCCATCAAATCCTAGTGACTCCCTTGTCCCTGGTCAATGAGTCGCAGTGCTCTGGGGTTAGAAACATGCACATGGCCACACTCTGAGGCATGAGCATGGTCACTACCAGTTCTCAATGTAGGTGATGGGAACAGCACTCAACAGTCCCCACTGAGCCATCTTCCCAGCCCAAGAGTGTTATCCTCTGAAAATACAAGCCTGAGCCTTTAGCTCCTCCAGAAGCCAATCACAGGAGAAAGCCTGTCACAGGACATCACTTAGTTGTCTACCAAAGGCAAGAGAGTCAGTTCAACAGCAAGCCCATAGTCACAGGACACACTTACTGGTGGCATCTGTCTGCACATAGATGATGTCACTTTTGGCTCCATAGGTCCGGCGTTCATCTGAGAAGGTAACCAAGGTCTTGACAAAGATGGCATATTGGGTCCAGGGCTTGAGACCCCGCATTAGCCACCCAGGGTGGCTTGGGGTTTGAGACTTGGGGTCGTTGGACCTCTGGGGTGGGTCAATATCTACCACAGTCCAGCTGTTGGAGCCACACGCATCCTGACCATCAAACTCCGTTACATTCTGATAAGGGCTTTTGAGAAATAAGAGGGAGAGCTAGGTCACCACTGTATAAACGTCAATCCAGCACTAAGTGGAGTGGGGACTTGGAGAGTTACAAGATGTAGACTCACTTCTTTTCTGTTTGGAGTGTGTGTGTGTCTGTCTGTCTGTCTGTATGTATGTATGTGTTCATAGCAGTTCACTTGAGTATATGTGAATGGACGTGAAGGAAACCACGTGGTTGTTGAGACAGACTCTAGTCCTGGCTGGCTTCAAAGTCACATAAATGTGCCAGCCTCTTGTCTCCTCATTATTGGGATTAATTGCATTTGCACTTAATTTCCACCTTGTGATTTGAGATAGAGGGATCTTCTCTGGCCTGAAATTCATCTCACAGACTAGGCTAGCTAGCCAGAGACCCCAAGGATCTGTCCATCTCTGCCTCCTTGGAGCTGGGATTTCAAGTGTATTCCACAACTCATGGCTTTCTGAAAGTGTGAATGTGTATATGAGCGTGTGTAATTGTATGCATGTGCCTTCAGGGGACAGAAGGAAAAGCTGGGCCCCCTGCATGCACTGCATCTGGTGACTGTGAAAGGCCAGACTTGGATGCTGGAGACCAAACTGGAGTTCTGAAATGCAGTGAGCACCTGTAACTGTTGAGCCTCCTCTCCAGCCCCCAGAAGTGAACTTTTTCCTATTTCCAATTCTGAAATGCAGGTCTGCTGCAAAGCCAGCAGCATTGAGGTGTGATAAGCCCATGATGTTGACTCCAGTCACCGAGCACCGAATCTTAGCCTATCAAATAGCCATTAGGTAAATGACTAAGACTGCAGCAAAACCAGTTGGGGTTTAGTGACTTAGGTGCCATCAATAATTTCCTTTCTATTTTTTTCCTTCCCACCCCAACATTGTCTATTTACTATATTCTCAATATGAGTTATCAACATATGACCACTGGGCCTGGGGAGAGGGCTCAGTAGGCAAAACATTTGATGTACAAACATGAGAACCAAAGTCCAATCCCTAGCATCTGTAATCCCAGCACCAGGAGATGGAGACAGATACATCTCTAGTCTGAATAAAAAGGAAGATGGAGAAAAGCTGTGAAATGCTGACTTCTAGGCATGGCATGGTTGCTGCACACATCAACTCAGACCAGCTGTGGTTGCCTGCACCAGATCAAGCCAGTCAACATTCCAGCATGGATGGTGGAGGGCTTCAAGGTACTTCCCTAGCCAAGAAGTAGTATGTAGCTGCTAAGGTAGTCTAAGTCACTCCCCTTTGGGAACATGGACACTGGTAGGTTGTTCGTGCTCCAGTGGATGGCTCCACATGCATGCACACATGGGCAGCACCAACTAGATTAAAGGGGTTGTCAACAACACACAGAGAACACGAAGTTGGGAGGGAAATGGGATGGACACACTAGGGAATGGTGGATAGATATGATCAAACATACATTACATAAATATATGAAGATTTAAAAGCACACACTTAAGATATTTTCTTATTTTAAAGGAGAATGTGAACTAAGCACCAGTTCATCTCTCTACTTCCTGACTGCAGGTGCAGTGTATCTAGCCGCTTCACACTCCTGCTGCCATGACAAGCTGTGAGCCAAGATAAACCCCTCCTTACAGCTTTGTCTGTCCCTGCAATAAGGAGCATAACAAATAGTCCACCTCCTTTTACTTACGCCTCTTTGTAGAAGAGCATGAATCCCAGGAGGTCTCGGAAGTCAGGGGGCCAGTAGGGCTCCCACCTCAGCAAGATCTTGTCAAAAGATGTCCGAATGAAAGAAAATTTAAGTAACTCATTTTCACCTAGAAAGGTTCAAGAGAAAAAAAATCAGGCAATTGGAATTCTGAATAGCTCATTTCAGAACAAAGTATTCAGCCTCCTGCTTCTTGGGGAGCGGGTAGATTGAGGGATGGAGGAGTCCTAGCTTCATTTTGTAGCTGTGATAAAATACTGTGACAAAAAACAACTTAAGGTAGGAGGAATTGTTTGATTGTTTGTTAAGTCTATCATATTTCAGGGAAACTAGACAGGAACTCAGCTGTTAGTCATATCTCATCAACCACTATCAATAGCAGAGAGAGACAGACGCATGGGGGATGCCTGCTTGATGCTTATATTAGCTAGCTTTCTCCATTTCATATTGTTCAAGATCCAGGCCATGCAACAGCTCTTCTCACTTCAATTAGCAGTTCAAATAAACGCCAAGTCAGCAAAGCCTACTTGATGAGCTCTGGGCGAGCAAGAAACCAACCAAAATGACCACTCGTCAACCAAGAAAATGTTCCACAGCTTTGCCTATAGGCCAACCTGATCTGGACAGTTCCTCAATTATGATTATTTTTCCAGGTGATTCTAGATTATGTCAAGTTGAAAATTAAAATGGGGTATATATAATCTGCTATTGCTTACATAGGTCTCGTCCACATAAGCAGAGAAATGATCTTGCTGAGTTTGAAAGGTGGGGAGTCAGCAAATCAAATAGGTATTGAAGACTCAACCAAATAAGATGCTCAACTGAATTGTGGATGATCCAAGCCAGAGCAAAAAGGACAACTAGTCAGCCATTTTTTGAGCAAAATGTGTATGTATACATGTGTATGCATGTTTATGTATGTGCAGGAGTGATGGCTAATCTTAGTTGTCAACTTGACACAGCTGGGAAGAGAGAATCCCAAATGCAGAACTTCCTCAATCAGATTGGCCTGTTGGCCTCTGGTCAAGGACCCAGACCACTGTATGCAGAGCCGTCCGTAGGTAGGGGGTCCTGGGCTATATAAGAAACAGCACTCTTCCATGGTCACTGCTTCAGTTCCTGCCTCTAGATTTCTAACTTTAGTTCTTGCTTTGACCTCCCTGAATGATGGATTGTGCCCTAGGAATATAAGATAAAATAGACACTTTCTTCCCCAAGATACTTTTGGTCAGAGCAACAGAATTGAACCATCTCTCTAGTCTCAAACTTAATCTTGTCATTTCTTCCCTGGTGATAGAGATTGCTGCATTGATTTCATCAACCTTGACACCCTCGCATTAGCTTTATGCTTATGTGGCATCAGACACTATACTTTGTGCAACTGACTCAGATAAGATACTTAAAACCTACCTCTGGCAGGTTGGAGAGACAGTTCACTTGGTGAATGCTCTCTCTGTAAGGCTGGGGGCCTAAGTTATGTCCCCAGAACCTCATTTAAAAAGGGGGGAACAAACAAAAAGAAAAATCTCCAGCCATCATGGCTGTGGTGGTTTGAATGAGAATGGCCCCCATGGACTCATTTGGTCCCCAGTTAGTGGAACAGGGGAATCCCTGAATAAAGGCCGGGACAGACCATTGTGTGAAGCTGTGAGGACGAAACCTGGACAGCATTGGAGACCCCAAGATGCTGGAGATGCCAGAGCCATGGGATTCTGTCAAGGAGAGTTACCCAAGAGCATCAAAGGTGTTGCATTCAGCAAAGTTGGAAAGGAAGAGCTGCCTAATACAGAATTTGGAGTTTGCCCAACTAGGCTTCAATCTTGCTTTGGCCCAGTATTTCCTCACTATGTTCTCTTTCCTTCCTTTTGGAATGGTAATGATATCCTCTGCCACTAAATGTTGCAAGTATGTGATCTGCTTTTTGATTTTACAAGAGGTTACAGTTAAGAGATTTTCTTGCATCTCAGAAGACACTTTAGATTTTTTTATTTTATTCTTTTATTAATTTATTTATTTATTCGTTTTTCAAGACAGGGTTTCTCTGTGTAACAGTACTGACTGCCCTAGAAGTCACTTTGTAGACTAAGCTGCCCTTGAACTCACTGAGATCCATTTGCCTCTGTCTCCCAAGTATTGGGATTAAAAGCATGTGCCACCACTGCCCAGCAAGACTTGGGATTTTTAAAAAGTGTTGAAACTGTGGGAAACTTTGGAGGCTTTTGAAGTTAGAATGGATGCATTTTGCACAGGGAGTAGATTGTGGTGGTTTGAATAAGAACGGCCCCATAGGTTCATATGGTTAAACGCTTAGCCCACAATGGAAGTGTTTGAAAAGAACTAGAAGGTGTGGCCTTGCTGTAGGAAATACATCACTGGGGGTGGGGTTTGAGATTCAAAAGGCCATGCCAGGTCCAGTTTCTCTCTTCTCTCTACCTGCTGCCTATGTATCAGGATGCAAGCTCTCAGCCCCAAACCTGCCTATCTACTGCTATGCTTTCCACCAGGATAATGGACTAAGCTTCTGAAACTATAAGCTAGCTTCAATTAAATGTTTTCCTTTATAAGAAATGCCTTGGTCATGAGTCTCTTTAGAGTAATAGGACACTGGTTAAGATAATGATGCACACTTTCAACCCCAGCACTGAAAAAATAGGAAAGGCAGATCCCTGTGGTTTTCTGGCCAGACCCACAAAGCCTACTGGTGAGCTCCAGGCAGCAAGAAACCCTATCTAACAGAAAAGAAAGCCAGTGGATGATGGCTAGGGAATGACTCCTAAGGTTGTCTTCTGTCCTACACACACATATAGCTGGACACACAGACATGCACATGTACACACAAACATACACACATGCATGTGCACACATATGCACACACATACACACCTGCCTTTGGTATTTTAAAACTCCTCTCCCAGAAAGCTGTAGCTCAACAAAGGACAATGGCACTTTCCTGGGGACTAGGGTAGTGGCTGAGAGAGGGCAGCCATTAGGGACATAAAGATGAAGAGACTTACAGGATGCCTGGTCCCCATTGGTCTTCAGGGCAATGTCGTTCCTCTCCTGGCGGCCCTTAGTTCCAGAAATCTCTTCCATCTTATGGATTTCTGACAAGCAGAGTTTGGGGTTGTAGTGGAAAAAGAGCTTGCCCTGAGTGATGGTGAGGTTGTGCTTGCTCCAATCCCAGAGCTGCCTGAGGTTCTGGTTGTCCAAGGCATAGAAAGAGTAGTTCCTGCAGATACACACACGGCTAGTCACTCCACAACCCATCTTCTTCAATTCCAAGATGCCAGGGGCCACACAGTACACTCAGTGGGTTGTAATTTTGTTTTAAAAGAAAAGAAATGAACTTGAGAGGGAGTAGGGATAGGGTGGATCTATGAGGAGTAAGAGGGAGGTGTAGGGACTGATTATGATCACAATATACTATATAAGAAATTCTTATACTATATAAGAATTAATTATAAATATCACAATTAAATAAAAACCAAAACTAGGCATCAAGGGCCAGGCCTGGAATTGAACCCTTCAGTTTAGCTGTGGGCCCAGTTCTAGCCACTTGCTTCACACAGACTCACAAATTATTTTTGGAACTGTGGAGAACAAAGAAATTCACAAGATTTCACGGCCAGGAATGTGCAGAGCACTCTCCTAGAATCCCTCAGTGAGGGACTAGGGGTGCAGCTAAGAGGTAGAGCTTCTGCCTAGAATCCCCTAGTGAGGCTGAGGGCACGGGTCAGGAGTAGAGCACCTACCTAGCATCCCCCAGTGATAGACTGGGATGTGGCTCAGCAGTAGAGCCCCTGCCTAGGATCCCCCAGTGAGGGGTTGGAGGCACGGCTCAGTGATAGAGTGCTTGCTTAGCACCAGGCACTAGATTCAATAATCAATATAACAAAATAAGAGGGAAAAGAAAAGGAACTAGAGAAGAAAGAGGAGGTAAAGTTGAAGGAGCAGGTAGAGGTGGAAGGGAGGTAGGGGTTGGGGTTAGACTGGGTTTTGGAAGGGTAAAAAATTGTGACCCAGGCAATAAAAATAGGAACAGAAATCAGTTTGGGGATGAAAAGTCTGAAAGGTTTTAAGCATGTTTGGTTTGGTTTTGTGTTGTGCTTCTGTTTATTTATTTGTTTGTTTTTAAACAGGCTTGAGAAAAGGTCTCACTGGCTGGCCTTAGAAATCACCAAATAGACCAGGCCAGGCTGGCCTTGAGAATTGCCTGCTTTCACCTCCAAAGCTCCCAGTTGTGTGGCTCTGCTTTAAGACACAGTATGGATTGGCATTCCTTTTGCCCCTTTCCCTATTAGCTGCTGCTTTTACAGCTATGAGGCTGGGGAAAGGCACCCATTTTGTGCCCATGAGAGACACAGAGAATCTAACTTCTCCACTGCATTTCTGAACGATCTTTCTGCTCATGAGTCTAGCTCTACTTCTCAAAACACCACACACCATATTTCTGTTTGTTTGAGCAACTTAGGCAGGTTCTGTGAGACCTGGAAGAAAGCCGAGCAAATGAGAGTCCCAGAAAGAAAGGATGGATAACTGGGGTCAGAAGGACATTTGCTGTATCTGAAGTTCCCGGTGGTGACCTGAGAAAAGCTACAGAACAGGCTTGGGGTTATGGGGAAGGAGAGAATTGGGACTGAATATTTTGGCTTATATAGGGCAAGATCCCAAGCCACAGGCCATGGCCGAGAGCCCGCACTGCCAACTCGGAAAAGATATGGAGACTGAGAGGGAAATGAGAAAGGATACCTGGGGTGGGTGGAGAATGCCTTGAGGATATGCAATTCCAGGGGCCGGGAAAGACGAGGATCTCAACAAAGAGCAGGGTGGTCTCTGCTAAGAGGTTGTGAACAAAAGTTCTTGGGGTTGGGGACAGCGACACCATGAACACAACATCTTATGTTGAGCCTTCTACAACACTGATTAATTGGTTAAAATTTCAATAACTGTAGAGAGGTTGGAGTTTGCAGGTCCAAAGTCTAATTACAATTTATCCTGGTCTGTCTTAAACTCCCCTAATAGTCACTCCTTGCCCACCTCTGTGTCTGACCAAATACCCTGTGGCTACACCCTATTACATGTAATAGCATGTAATATCCTTTAGGAATGTACTAGCATAGCAGAACATTAGCTTCCATGAACCAAAACACTAAGAATGTCATTGGATAACACCTGAGGCCTATAGCAGAGATTTCTCTGGTTTGCTGTTAAGCACCTCTTTGATGTGTCTACCAACATCTTTTAAAAGGACCTTGGTTTGGGACTTTATGTGTTCTATTAGTATAAAAACTTCATGAGACTGTTACCACATTGAAATATGCAATTTAGGATTACCTTTATCGGTGTTCCTGGGCCATGCTACTCATGATTGGCTCCAGAATAAACTATCTCTTATCCCTTTGCGGTGAGAGTAGAAGTTCTGTATTGACAGAACCAAGAAGTTTCTATACATGGCTGTAACCAGGTATTTATCACACTCCATTCTCAGTGTAGCTGCGATAGATGCACACACCATTAGCAAATCCCAGCCGCTGGTTTCCCAGGAAGACTGGAAAGTAGACTTTTGTGTTTCCTAGCTGGATGGACATTCAGAAGTGCTGCAGAGGCCATCACCTAATAGATGCTTCATTTTGGTTCAGTTGGGTTTTTAAAAAGAAAAATCCTAATGGGTGCATTTGTACGTGTGTGTTCATGAGTGGGGAGGACAGAGGAAAACCTTGTACCTCACCCACCCTGGTTTTCTGAGTCAGGGTCTCTCACTGACCTCCAACCTGATAAGTAGGTGAGGACTGGCTGGCCAGGGAGCGCCAAGGATCCACCTGTCTTTTCTTTCCAATACAAGTAGGTTCCTTTTTATAAACCTGTGATAAAACTCAGGTCTTAACACTGCAAAGTAAGCAGTTTACCCAGTGAACCATCTACCCATCCCTCTGTCATCTCATCCATGAGTTTCTTGGTTGGCAGCCACAAACATAGCCAGGTTCACATACCCGATTTCCAAGGTCTCTCCTCGAATCAGATGTAGCTTCCGGAAGAAAGAAAGTGATACTAGAGCATAGGAGCGTCGGATTTTTAGGAACCCTGAAATTTCTTCAATGAGGCCAAGGTTAGCCTCCAGCTCAGCTGCCAGATTGTCTACAGAAAAGAGGAAACACCTATGAGTGTCTGCAGGAATTTTTATCTAGCCTGTGTGTGTGTGTGTGTGTGTGTGTGTGTGTGTGTGTGTGTGTGTGTATTCCTGCCCTCCTGGTGTGTTGTATAAGTGTCTGTGTGTCTGTCTGTCTCTGTATGTGTGTGTACCAGCCCACCTGGTGCATGTGTGTGTGTGTGTGTATGTGTGTGTGTGTTCATGCTCTGCTGTTATCACTCAGGATGTGACAAAAGGAGGATTTGGAGTTGAAAATCACCTATGACTACATAGTGAGTTTGAAGCAAACCTACAATATAACATGCTTGCTTTTATTTTATTTATTTTTTTTTTATTTTTGAAACCAAGTCTCATGTAGTCCAAGTTGGCCTCAAATTTATTATCTAACCAAAGATACCCTTGAACTTCTGATTTTTGTGGCCTCACTCCCCAGTGCTTCGATTTCACCAGCATAGTACTGAGGACTGAACCCATGAATGCTAGGAAAGCACAGCCCTATTCACACTAAAGTTCTTCTAGCTAGAGGCTTTTTCTTTATTTATTTCTTTGACATGGGGTCTCATGTAGCTTAGGCTGGCTTCAAACTCACACTGTAGCCAAGGAGGAGCTTGAACTACTCCTACCTCCATCTCCTGAGTACCGGAATAACAAGTGTGAGCCAGCAGACTCAGTGCACATGGGTAAGAATACAGATTCCTAGGGCTGTACAGATGGCCCAGCAGTAGTTAAGAGAATCTGCTGCTCCTGCAGAAAACCTGGGTTCAGTACCCAGCACCCACACAGCAGTTCCCAACCATCTGTAACTGCAGTGCCCACTTCTGGCTTTTGAGGACACCACACATACAAAGTACATACATGGAAAGAAAACACTCAAACACAAAAAATAAAAAGAATAGATTCCTGATGCAGATTGGAAAATAAGAATTCCTGAAAAACCGAGAGCCAGGAACTTTTTGTTTCAGATTTTAAGGCAACTCCTATTATGCGTCTCCTACTTAGAGGGCCACTGAGGGACGTGTCACTTTGTTTGCTTGTTATGTTGTTTTGTTTCTTTAGATAGGATTATGCTACCCAGGCCGGTCTGAACTTTCTAGATTCAAACAATCTTCCTGCCTCAGCCTTCTGAGCAGCTGAGACCACAGGACCCAAGTGACTATGGCCTTGAAAGTTGAGAGGGGAAAGTGTAGAATACCCTGGGCTCTGTACTTCCCTGCTCACATTGTACAGTAAGTGGGGGACCCTCCTTGGAGTACTCACTGCCCCCTCGAATGTTGATGATCAGGCTGCCATTGATCACAGTGCAGCCTCGGAGCTCCTGGGCAGATGTCACAGAGTCAATGGTCTTCTCGCCTTCGAGGATGTGGCAGACCTTAGGACAGGGTCCCAGACATGGGGTGCACATCAAGCTGAGAATGGAGCAGAGAAAGAGAAACAGATTAATCCGGTGCGTAGGGTTCCTTCACCCACTGTTTGGAATACAGCATGCTTCATGGAGACCCAGTGGCAATTACTCTAAAGTAGAAGGGCTGAGCTCAGCACTTGTCCTAGTTAGCTTCAACTGTCAACAAAATACAGCCTAGAGTCATCTTGAGGGAATCTCAGTTGAGGATTGCCTAGATCTGATTGGCCCATGACCATGGGGAGTTATCTCGATTGTTGATTGATGTGGGAGAGCCCAGTCCACTGTGAGTGACACCATTTCCTAGGCAGGTGAGTCTGGGCTGTATAACAACACTGTCTGTATATGAGCCAGAAACTGAGCCAGCAAGCATCACTGCTCTGTGGTTTCTGTTTCAGGTTTCTGCCTGACTTCCCTCAGGCATGGACTGTGAGCAGGCAGTGTAAGCTGAAACAAACATCTCTTCCCTTAAGTAGCTTTGGTCAGAGCATCTTATGACAGCAACAGAAAACTCACTGATACAGAACTCGGAATAACTGAAACTAAGTTTATTTATCTTCACAGTAGTAACCAGGCACCCATGCGCAGTATAGGATGCAGAGCAAGATCCCCAAGCTATACTCAGTACCAACAGCATCCCATCTCCACGTTGCCACAACTAAAAACATTTTCAGATGTTAGAAGCTGTCAAATGCCTGCCACATACTTAAAATAGCCAATTGGCCCCTTTAAAAAAAAAAAAAATCACTGCCCAGTGTTTGTTAGTGCAAACTAAACACACACCCCAAATATCTGGTTCTCCTTGTTTCAGAAAGACGCAGCCCTTCATCCTGCCAAACACCTTGGTGTGGCCATAGCTGATGGAGTGTTTTAATGAATCTATGTGAGTTTCTAGAACTCTGTAGTTTAAAACTCCAAGAACAGTGTTTCATACCTGGCTGGGACTCAGGCAGACAATCTCCACTCTCATTCCTGTCCTCCATTACAATTTCTCCAGTCTGATCTCAGCCTTTCAGCAGACTGTTTGCAGGGGCCTGTCCTTACTTCCTAACTCCAGTGCCTAAGGACTTAGCCAAACCGTGGTGTGGACTCAGCTTTCCTTCAGGCTGTGGACCCTCTCGACCCCTACTTCCTTATGTCATCCCCATTCCTCTATGTCAGCCCCCAATACCTAGAAATGTTCTCTACAGTATGGACCCTGGCAGGAGAATCACACTGTTCTTCCTCTCCTCCTTTATGATGTCTCCATTATCACCCTCAGCCCTATTTTAAAAAAAAAAAATTCCTACCAGAATTTTACAACTCAACTCCCTTCACTGAACACTTCAACTCTTGATTCAGGCCCAGGGTTCCGCTGGGCCTTTCATTCTTGTCTCCCCAGACCCCTCTTCCTACACCTCCAAATCCCTGGGGGCACCACCTCTAGGTATAAAAAGGATAGGATCCCTAAGCTCCTTCCTGAAGGCCCTCTCAGCTTTTCTCCCAGCCCACCTCCACCACATTCTGCCACCCACTGGCCTGCAGAAGCACTTTCAACAAGGCAGTTCACAGACATCACACTTTCCTAAGATCCAGAGAGAGCAACAGAAACCAGGAAACAGAACAGTCACCCAACAGAGGCAAGACCAGATATGAGCACCTAGAATCACCTAAAACACCACCCGGAGGCATAAACACCAGCACAAAATGACACTCATTACCAGTTCCAGAATATTTGTTTACACTGTAAAGATGGATCTTTGCCAAGGTGCCTTCTGATTGGCTTAATAAAGAGCTGGATGGCCAATAGCTAGGCAGAAGAGGTTAGGCAAGACTTCCAGAGACATAGAGGACTCTGGGAAGATAGAATGTATATTAGTATAAACAGGTTAGTTTAAGTTATAAGAGCTTCTTAAGAACAAGCCTAAGCTACAGGCCGAGCCTCCATAGTTAATAAGAAGTCTCACACTGTTCGGGAACTATCTGGTGGGACAGAAAAAGAGTCATTACAACCAGCTGCATGAAAAGGTAATGAATAACATATAAAAGCAGACCCATAGAACTAGTGGTTCTCAACTTTCCTAACGTTGTGACCCTTCAATACACCTCCTCATCTTGTGGTGACCCACAACCATAAAATTATTTCATTGTTACTTCTTAACTGTAATTTTACTACTGTTATGAATCATAATATAAATATCTAACATGCAGGATATCTAATATGTGACACCGCCTCCCAAAGACCGTGACCCATAAGTTGAGAAACATTGCTATATTAGAATAAGACCTGAGTTTTCAATGAAGATTCTGAAGTCCAGAAGGGCCTAGACAGATGTTCTACAGATTCTAAAAGACCACAGAATACTATACCCAGGAAAACTATCAATCACCAGGGATGGAAAAAGAAGGCCATTCCAAGACCAAACTAAATTTAAGTAATATTATCTATAAACCCAGCTCTTCAAGCACTCAAGCACTAGAACAACAACAACCAAGAAAACACAAGGAATAAATAATACCAGACCAGCAAATCAAATAGGGAAGACACACTATAACAACAAAACAGTAGAAATTAAGAAACACTGCTCATTCATAATTCTCAATGTAAATGACCTCAATTTTCCAATAAAAAGACAAAGACTAACAGAATGAGTATGAAAACAGGATCCATTCTTCAGCTGCAGCCAAGAAACACAACTCAACATCAAGGACAAGCCGCCAGTCAACATCAGCTTAAATGGAAGGAAACTCAAAGCGATTCCACTAAAACCAGGAAAAAGGCAAGGCAGTCCACTCTTTCCATACCATATAGTATTTGAAATCTTAGCTAGAGCAAGAAGACAACTAAAGGAGATCCAAGGGGATATAGATTCCAAAGGAAGAATCAAAGTATTCTTATTTACAGATGATATGATAGTATACTTATGTGACCCTAAGAATTCTACCAGGGAACTCCTACAACTGACAAACACTTAGCCTTCATATATACAAATGACAAACAGACTGAAAAAGAAATCAGAGAAGCAATACCTTTCACAATAACCTAAAAATAAACAAATAAATTATCTTGCGGTAGCTCTAACCAAGCAAGTGGAAAACTTGTATAATAAAAACTTTAAGGCACTGAAGGAAGAAATTGAAGATGGTATTAGAAAATGGAAAGATCTCCCATGCTCATGGATCAGCAAAATTAATAGAGTAAAAATGGTCATCCTACCAAACGCAATCTACAGATTCAACGCAACCCCCATCAAGATCCCAACACAATTCTTCACAGAAGTGGAAAGAACAATTTTCAGATTCATATGGAAACACACACATAGAAACAGAATAGTTGAACAATCCTGAATAATAAAAGAACTGCAGGACTACAAATTGTACTACAGATCTACAGTAAGAAAAACACCATGGTATAAGCATAAAAACAAACATGGTGATCGATGGAACTGAACCGAAGACCCAGACATAAATCCAGAAAATCTATGTACACCTGATTTTTTACAAAGAAGCCATAAAAAGACAACATATTTAACAAATGGTACTGGTCAAACCAGAAGCTGTATGGAGAAGACTATTAGACAGGCTCACACTTATCACCCTGAACAAAACTCAAATCCAAATAGATCAACAACCTCAATATACGGCCAGATACATGAATCTGATAGAAGACAAAGTGGGGAACAGCCATGAACTCATTGGCACAGGAAAATACTTTCTGAAAAGAACACTGATAGCACAGGCACTATGATTAACAATTAATAAATGAGACCTCGTGTAACTGAAAAGCTTCAATAAGGCAAAGGTCACTGTCATTCAGACAAAGCAGCAACCTACAGAATGGGGAAAGAATTTTACCAACCACACATCTGATAGAGAGCCAATACCCAATATATATTAAATAAATAAAATCATAAAATTCTCAGATAAATGGATGGAACTAGGAAAAAGAATCATCCCGAGTGAGATAATGTAGAGCCAGAAAGACAAATATGGTATGCATTCACATATAAAAAGATGCTAACTGTTAGGCCTTGGATAGTCAAGCTACTATAACCACAAAGGTTAGATGTAGAAAAGTAACTAGGGAGTAGGGAAGGATATCTTAAGGAACCGGAAATGGAATACATAATTATGAATGGAGGGAGGGAATCGGGGGTGGGGAGAGACTGGAACAGGAGGATTCAGGAAGAGGAGAAGAAGAGGGAAGTAAGGGAGGGAATACAGAGAGGAACAGTTAACACTAAGAAACACTGAAGGAGCCATATGGAAACCAACTACAGTAGTAGCTTCTTAAAATATATACATACTTAAAAGAAATCTAATGGGGAGTCAACGTCTCAACCAGACATTTCTAGCTACCAAGTAAAACCTCAGGACCAAGAATCCACTACACCCAATCAAGTAGTTAGACACAGAAAGGAGACCCCCAGGAAATCCCCACACAACTCAGGCTATTGCCAATAAGGCTACTGGTGGCTCTCCACAAACTGATGACAACAGCAACATGTCTCATTGATCATGAGAAGTCGAGCTTATGCTTATGTGGAGCCTTTCTTTACTCTTGCTGACTAATGTCCACAGTATTGGGGGGTCCTCTGCATGTCACAACCCAAACAAACCCTTCCATCTATGATGACCTGCCTGCATGATACCAGGTGAAATAGCGGCATAAAAGTATAACCAACCACTATCTGCTTAGATTTAAGGCCCATTCCATGAGATGAAACCCATGCCTGATACTGTTCAGGTGTCCAAAAACCTGAGAATAGCTAGGCCATGGACCGAGGGGAAAACCAAACACTATTGAGCCAGACAGTGGTGGTGCATACCTTTAATCCCAGCACTTGGGAGGTAGAGGCAGCCTGATCTACAAAGCGAGTTTCAGGATAGCCAGAGATGAACAAAGAAACCTTGTCTCAAAAAAGGAAGGAAGGAAGGAAGGAAGGAAGGAAGGAAGGAAGGAAGGAAGGAAGGAAGGAAGGAAAAAAATTAGCAATAAAATGACTCCTGAGGACATTCTGCCATACTCTTAGATCAGTGTCTAAATCAACATCAAGAAGTTTTCTCCTGCAGGAATTGGGAATAAATACAGAAACCTACAACAGAATAATGTGCAGAGGGTCACCATCTTGGTTATGGTGAGCATTAAAAAAAATCCTTTTCATTTAAATCCAATGTCTTTTTCTTCTTTTGAATATATATGTATGTGTCCTATGTATTCATGTATGTACCTATGTGTGAAAGCCCACAGCTGATGCTAGATGTCTTCCTCAATTGCTAGCTATCATATATGTGTGTGTATATGTATGTGTATGTATGTATATACACATATATACACATATATACATATATATACAGAGAGAGATAGTGTGTAGCATGAAGGTCAGAGGACAACCTTTGAGAGTCAGTTTTCTTCTTCTGTGGGTACTAAGGGTTCAGACTTAGAATGTCAAGCTTGGTTGTAAGCACCCTTACCTGTTGAACCACCTCACCAGTCCTCCATCTTACATATTGAGTTACGATCCCTCACTTAATTCAGTAGAAGGCCACTTGCTCTGAGGATCCCTGTCTCCACTTTCTAAGGTTGGGATTACAGGTGGGTCACCACACAGCCTGGCAGTTACATGGGTCCTCGGAATCCAAATATTGCTTTACCTGGTGGGTCATCTCTCCAGTCCTAAGGTCAATGTCTTTCAAACAAAAGTCTTGACAGAAACCATCAGTCCCTAAAGTCATTTTTTAAAAACTGAAATGGATAAACAGAACAATGTTTCTTTCTCCAATCTTCCTGTTGAACCTCCTCCCGCCCTCAGAATGAAAATAAAATAAAATAAAAAATAAAGTACCATTCAACACAGAGACTGATTTATAGAGGTCTATTTGGGCCAACAATACTTGTTGTTTCATTTCTTTGGTTTTTTTCAATTTATTTAATAAAAAAATGAGCAAAACAAAACATATTGTACTTTTAGGTTTCATAAACACTAAAAAAAATTCACAGGAGCTAAAATAAAAATTGTTTTCTTTCTTACCCTTTCCACTCAGGGAAATAAAATTTCCCACCAAAATCAAAACACTCTTTTGCTCGCTCTCTTGGCTAGCGCCCAAGTCTGAGAGGAAGAATTTTGACGTCAGCAGGTCAGCTCAAGGCCTTGCAATGTGCGTCTGTTTCTGATTTGGTTTTCTGTTCTTTGCTGGACATCCCCTACCCCACCTCCCTTCTTTTAAACCCTAACACCAAAAACACAAAAGAGATTTAAAACAACAACTTGGTGAAAGTCCCAGACACTAAAATATCTCATCCACAACATGAGGCCGTGAACAAAGCATCTGGGGTGTACATAGGAAGCCTGACTCATCACCTAGGAGAGAAGTCCTGTTTCTTACCCAAGTGGTAGGAAACGGCTTGATGGTGCTGATCTTGGAAGGACAGTCAAGCTCTGGGAACAGTGTAGGCGTCAGGCTCCCCCCCCCCCCCAAGACAGAGTGTTCCCAGGTTGTGTTGGGGTAAAGTGGGGTAGGATATGGGCAACATAGCTACCTTCCTGATATAACAGTTATTCACTGAGCCAGGAAGGAGGGTGCAGGTGAAATGAGAGAATTCCATCTTCAACTGTAATCATGGCACTTGGAAATAGGGTGTTCATGAGGAGGAACATTTCCTTCTGATCAAGCCCATCACCAAACCCCAGGACACCATATTAAAAAAAATAAATAAATAAAATTAAAAAATTTTAAAAAAAACACTACTGAGAGCTGTTAAATCACCCAGTTGGCAAAATACTTGCTGTGCAAGCATGAGGATGTAGGTTTGCTTTCCCAGCAACCAAAAGAGCTAGGACAGAAGTTACGCCTATAATGCAAGCACTGAAGAAGCAGAGACAGGAGTATCCCAAGCTCTAGAGCCAGTGAGAGACCTTTTCTTAAAAGGGGAGCTAGAGTTGGCTTAAATTAAAATTAAAGTAGGAGCTGGCGACATGGTTCAGTGGTCCAGAGAACTTGCTGCTCTTCCAGAGGTCCTGAGTTCAATTTCCAACACCCACACAGAGGTTACAGTCACCTGCAAGTTCAGCTCAAAGATAACTCATGCCCTCTATGTCCTCCCCAGACACCTCCATACACATACAGATACTGCACAAACACACATATACATGAATAAAATATTTAAACAAAGAAGGAGCACAGTAATTGAAGAAAACATCCAATGTCAACCACTGATCTACACACACACACACACACAAGCATACACACATGTACCCATCTGCACATATACCTGTCCACACACATAAACACATACACACATATACATACACATGCCCACCTGCACACAATACCGACATACATGAACACAAACACATACATGTGCACATGCCCTCCTGCATACCCAGGTTCCTACATGTGTGCACACTTGCACACTCTTGTACATATGTATGCATGCTTGTGTGCATCCATCTGCACATACACATGTGCACATACACATGTGCACATACAGAATTTAAAAGATGTAAGTGGTGGTAACCTCATTCTTTGCCAACGCACTCTGGTTTAGCACAGTTGGAACTGATAAGGCTTCATCATCAGTTCTAAATAGCAGCTAACAGCATTTTGTGGTTTTCTTGAAGGTGGTATATTTTCTTTTTTTGAGATGGGGTTCTGTATAGCTCATGCTGGCCTTGAACTCACTACATAGCCAAAGATGACCCTGAACGTCTGATGCTCCTACCTCTACCTCCCAAATGCTAGGACCACTGATGTGTACCTCCAGGCCTGATAAATTCAGTGCTGAGGATGCATCCTAGCCAAAGAGCCCTGCTGAACAGCTTTAGCTACATCACCAGCTTCCACCCAGCTACTTCCCTGGACCCACGCACGGACTCACTTGCTGGAATTCATTGTATAGCCAGAAGGACACTCAGGGATGCACTTGTTGTTGTGAATGACGTATTGGTGACAGCCAGGCTTCCTAGAGTTTCTGCATTTGTAGTGAAGGTCTTGGCAGAAGCTGAAGTTCACACAGCGCCAATCCTGGAAGTGGTAGTAAGGGGGTGGGCAGGTCTCCACACAGCGACCATCCAGGTAGAAGTTGCGGCAGGCCACACACTTGGTGGGGTCATCGGGCTCCGAACAGTTGCCTAGGCACTCCTTGTGGCAGCACAAGCCTTCAGCTGTGCAGCCATGTGACTTACAGATGGTCGGACAAACTAGAGACATGAAGAAAAATAAAACAGCTGGTCAAGGATTCTGTCCAAGTTCTGTCTGCAAAAACCGCCAAACAAAATAATAACAGTAACAGCCACATTTAAACAGCACTTGGCACGTGCCTGACTGGTCTGTGAAAAATGACAGTAGCCCCCAAAGCAACTCCACACTTGGCAAAAGTTAAACAATCACCTGAGCGAGGGGAGGGCGAGAGGCCTAATACACAGCATTTGCCAGTTACTACCACCAACTTCAGGCTACTGAGAGGAAGTTAAGGAACCGAGGCCTTGACAAGAGACACAAAGTAACACACCATTAAATAAAGTTTCCTATAACCATACAGTCTATGTCTATGATAGAAACAGTAGTAGACAATAACTTCAAGGGTACACATACTTTTTTTTAATGTTATGCCAAGGACAAGAGAGATGGCTCAACAGTTGCCAACACTTATTAATCTTGCAAAGGACTTGAGTTCAGTTCCCAGCACCTACAACAAGCGGGTGGTTCACTGTAACTCCAGCTCCAGGGGATCTGACACCCTCTTCTTGGCTCAAGAGGCAACTGCTCATGTTGCATATGCACACACTTAAGTAAAAAGAAAATACTTTCTGAAAATTCCATACAATAGCTAAAAAGTGGTGGTTTCCATCATTTGTTTTACATATGATTTGTTTTAACTGTAGGTTTGCGTAATTTCATTTACTGACTTAATCACTTACCTATTTATTTATATATTGCATTGTTGGGGATAGAGCCCACAACTTACAAATATCAGGCCTGGTTTCTAGCACTGAGATACACCCCAGTCCTTCATTGGTGGATTCTAGGTAGGCCCTCTACAACTGACCCATGACCCCAATCCTTCACTAGGGGATTCTAGGCAGGGGTTCTACCAACAAGACACATCCTCTGCCCGTGTATGTATTTCATTTGGAGACAAGTTCTCTTTAAGTTACCCAGGCTCTCCTGGAACTCTGTAGCCTAGGTTAGCCTTGTGCTTGCCATCCTCCTGCCTCGGCCTATCACAGGGTTACAGGACCTGTAACCACTTCAGGCTCTGTTGCAACTTAAAAGGAGGATCCTGATAAGGAGGAAGGAGCTGACCTCTACTCCAGAACCTCCCATCAGCCTTTTCTCCCATTATCTCATTGTTCAACACTTCCTAATTGTTTTTTTTTTTTTTTTTTTGATTTTTTGAGACAGGGTTTCTCTATAGCTAGTTTTTGTAGACCAGGATGGCCTCAAACTCACAGAGATCCATCTGCCTCTGTCTCCCAAGTGCTGGGATTAAAGGCATGTACCATCAACACCTGGCTGCCTCTTTGTGTGTGTGTGTGTGTGTGTGTGTGTGTGTGTGTGTGTGTGTGTACATGTCAGGGGACACAGAAACAAGTGTGGAGGCCAGACAACAACCTGGGTGTCAGTCCTCACCTTCCAATCCAGCTCTGCCTGGATTCTAGAGATCTGAAACTCAGGAGTCATCTCTCCAGCCATTTCCTAATTGTCCCTTCATTGCATCCCCTCACTTCCCAGGCTACACATGAATATCTGTGACTCGGTTGACTCTAGCTAATCCTCTGTTATGTGTCTGATCTGCCCTCTAAGGTGCGTCCCTCTCTCCTTCCTGTACACTCTGGAGCAGAATCAGACAGCCAGGAACCAGATTTCTCCCAGATTTTCAAATTTAACTCCCCTAACACTTAGTGGGTCCCTCTCCACTAGCCAAACCCGGGGAGAGAAGTGGCCTCCAAGCCAACTCCACATACAGCAACACTATCCAATTTAATTCTCTAGCATGACAGAAATATGAGCTATCCAAAGGGTAATCTCCTGCGGCCTGTGCTATAGCTAATGAGCAAACAAAGCAAAAACAAATTTTAACTATGGTAAATAACCTAAAACCTTCCATCAGTGGCTGGGGGTGTGGCTCGGTGGTAGAGTGCCTGCTTAGTGAATAGAATACTGGCTTTGATGCTAGCATCACAAAAACCTGGGCATGATGGTGCACCTCTGTCATCCCAGAACTCAAGAGGTGGAGACAGGAAAATCTAGAGTTCGATATTTAAGGTGGAGTCATCAAAGAAACACCTGATGTCACCCTTGGGCCTCCATAGGCACATACAAACACACAGAGAGATACATACATACATACATACATACATACATACCACATATACATACATATGCCATTTTTAAACGGATTAATTAGTACATAATAAAAGCATGTATCTAGCTGTGCATCATCCCCATCAGCCATTCACACATAAACCAACACTCTGTCCCTGCTCATGCTTCTTACAGCCCCTCCATGGCACCAAACCCACCTGCCTGCTTTCTGTCTCGGCAAGGACAGTGTAATCTTTTATTTTCCAAACGTATCCACATGGTAGCATATGTCAGCAGTTCCTTCTTCCTTTTTAGGGCTGAATTATATTATCTTCACTGACCCAATCATTTAACAGTGGCCACATAGACAGCCTTTACCATTGGGATATTATAAATCATGCTTCTTTGGATATGGTGTACAAATATCTCTTCTGGTCCCATTTTCAATTCTCCCATGTATATACCCAGAAGTAGTATAATTAAATGTATGTTGATTACACACCCTGTGCAAGAGAAGAGGATGCTGGGTATTCCACTTCATCACTCTCTTATTCCCTTGAGACAGGGTCTCTCGCTGAACAACCTAGGGCTGGGCTGGCAATCAGGAAACTCAGACACGTACATGACTGCTCCCTGCTCTTTACATAGATGTTGGGGATGTGAGCTCAATTCTTCATGCTTACATATTAAAAACTCTTACTCAGCCTCCTCCCTAGGCCCAACTACGTTAATTCTACTAATTTTTCTAATGAGCCACCATACTGTTTTTCTTCAGTCACTGAACCATTTTACAATCCCAACAACCTTCACAAATACTATGATTTCGCCAGAGGAGCCAAGTTTTTATGTTTCAGTTCAATGCACTACAACTTCAACTGTAATTACTACAGCCAACTCTCAACTCTTCTTTGGGGCAGAACAGATTTGGAGACTAAACATCTTGTCAGGGGAGGCTAAGGAAATGGCCATCCACCTTGAGGAAATGACCTAGAGCTCACCAATGAGACTAGGCTAACTGTCCAACAAGCCCCACAGACCCTCCTTCCCAACACCAGCAGAGTCCAAGGCTCCATGCACACTAGGTAAGCCTACTATGAAGCCACATCCTGTTGCAGTCTACCCTCCTTTCCTTATGGGCACCAACAACAAACCTAAGTGTAATTCTGCCGTGGTCCAACTTAGACAACCAAGGAGTTCATGTACAGAGCATGGGAGCTTGGGTGGCCCCAAAGCAGCCACACCACAGGAAAGCCTCATCCCAGCATGGACGATGATGTCTCCAGGGCTGCACAGATAGAGTTCTCCCCTCATCCTCTATACACCCTAGCACTAAGACCATGAGTCCATGGGCATATACATCTGACTGGGAGGTACAGGAGAGAGCAGCTAGAATGTTGGGGTGGGGGTAATCCAGTCATCCACACTGCCCCTCATCCTATGAGAGAATATCATATCAACAGTTTGCAGGTCTGACTGGGAGCTGGAGTAAGGGGGGAGGGGGGGAGGTGGACGAAACAGTTTATTGTAGGTAGTCACAGCTACTCCAATGAAGTTGACCTGTTAAGCTCAGAGGACAGCACCCTGCAACACCTCCCCCAGTCCCTTCTCTGCTATTATGAGTCCAGGAATACAGAAGACAAAGCCAACCAGGGCCAACTGTGCCAACAACGTTATCATCATTAGTCCGGCTCTGTCTAGGGAGATCTGAGGGCTGAAATTCAATTGGAGGAAGCAATAATTAAAGCAGGCGACTATCTCAGGCTCACAAAGACACAGACTCTCCCATACAACACACAGAAGAGCAGGAAGAAGCCCATTTCCTGGGCGTCAGCCTTTTTCATCCACAAGAAGTTTCATCAAAGCCCTAATAAACACTTCCCAAACACATAAGCTCTGCAGCCCACACAATACTAAAAGCAGCCAATGGTTGCAAACAAAGCCAGGGGCAGACAGCCAGGCACTTCAATCTTGCACTTTGCACTGTAGGATTCCATTTATAGGACATCCGGGAAGAGGGAAAGAAAACAACGTGACAAGGCAGACACAGCTCACTGGCTACCAGAGAATGGAGCTGGGGAGGATTAGGCTGTAGAGGCACCAGGGAACTGGGGGTAAAGGAGGGGCATGATCAAACCACTCTTTCGCTTTTAAATTTTATTTATTCATGTATTTAGGGGGCGGGGGTGCACCTGCAGGGACCAGAGGAAGGGATCTAGGTGCCATCTTCTTTTCTTTTAATATTAACTTATTGAAAAATTCATACTTGCATACAGTGTATCTTGATCATACTTTTCCTCCAACACTCCCCACCAACGCCCCTCAGAATCCCTCCCTCATCATAAACATCTCCTTCCCAATTTTATGGCCTCAGTTTAAGCTTATTATTTATTTATTAACCCATTAAAGGCCTATTCCTTTGAGACATTAGAGCTAGGCTAGAAACCAGCAAGTCCCAGGGTCACTCCACAGCACTGGGGTTCCAGGCTGGCATATGGCCACTGCCTGCTTTTTCTCTAAGCGCTAGGAATTACAAATGCAGATCTCACGCTTGGGCAGCAAGTGCTTTTTTTACCCACTGAGTCATCTCTCCAGTCCTCAATCTCTCTATCTTATCTCTTTCTTCTGGTGTTGGTCACTGATGAATCACAGGTTGTGCCAGAGCTGGTGGTAACCGGGTGCCTGGGACAGGATTCCAGAGGGAGACATACTCTGAGAAGTTGGCAGGTCAGTACTAAGTAACAGTTACATGGTCGCGAGACACAACAGGGTGACTACAGATAACAACAGCGGTTGTCCATTTGGAAAAGCAACAAGAAAGGAATGACAAAGGGGAGAAATAGATGGGGGGAATACTCAGCCCACCCCCACCCCAGGCAGTACTAACCGGCAGCTG